CCCCAGCATTCCCCAGGCCCCAAGTCACTGGCTGGCAGGAACCTACCCTCTGCCAGGCTGGCCTGCCCCTTACTAGCCAAGTGGCCTTAGGGGAGCCACTCAGGCTTCTGTTAAAGGGCAGACCTGCCTTCCTCCCAGCAAGAGCGGGCACCGTGGAGGCTACAGGCACCCCCCAGACCTGGGGCTTCCTGACTCCCGGAAAGGGACAGTGACACTAACCCCAGCAAGAAGCACCGCTACAGGCCGTCCTCAGAGGCACCGCGGGCGGGAACAGCCAGCCGGCTCTGCCGCGATGACTACCCTGGGGGGGGCACAGGCGGGACACTGATGTCAGCGCCCGGGGCCACTTTTCCAGACACTGCAACGCCCACAGGCGGACTCAGGCAGCCCCACCCGGCACTCACCTGGCCGCAGGCCGGGCTCCCTGAAAGGCAGGTGGACGGGACTTCCCCGGGAGGCTCCACTAGAGGGCGGGGACAGGTCACAGGTCAGACTCCAGGCGACTGGACAGGACCCTGCCCCCTCCCGGCGGCTGCGTGCCCCACACGGCGGACCAGAGCCCGCAGCGTCACTCGCAGCCCCAGCTCAGGGAGCGGCCGGCGGTATTTTGGTCTGAGCCAGGGAGGGGGAGGGCAGAGGGCATTTCTGGACAGTCCGATCCTGGGAGGAACCCCACGCCTCCTCCAAGCGCCCCTAAGCCTTAGCGCCAGACCCGCCGCGGCTCCTCCCGCACGAAGCAGCAGTGGCTGAGCCTGGGAAGGAAAAGAGGCGCAGACCCCCCACGCGGAGCTGACCCCCCACGCGGAGCTGACCCCCCACGCGGAGCCGCCCGGGGCAGCCCCGAGGTCCCCGGCCTTCTGGGGACGCTGACTCCGGACACAGATCCAGCCCCCGCGGCTGCACACGGGCCGCGCGTGGGGAGGGCCCCCCTTTCCGGGGGAGTCTGGCGGATGTGAGCCCCAGGGAAAGCCGGCCAGAAATAGCTCCTGCGGCCGGGAGCGGGGCTGCCCCACCCCGCGGCCCTGCAACGCC